GATTGTGTCGGTGCCGCAAGTTTGCTGGGTGTATGCAGTGGTGTGTTTTGCTGGCCCATCAGACTGTGTGACTGATTGGTGCTCACGTATGGAATGTATGGAACATTGTTTGGGATTAGGTCCATAATGGCATGACCTTGTTATGAGTTTTGCTACTGTACTGCTGCTTGTTGATTGGCTCCCCTGCTGCGTACAGGTGCTTTTTACAATAGTGTTAATGACAGCATCCGGCAACTGTTTTAGATTTTATTGGGTAGAGGCGGACGGTGAGATGTGTAAACTCCAACAAAAAGGCTTCTTGGTGTCAGTTATTTATGAGCGCTGTCTCATTGGAGATGCAAACACGGTACTCACACGCTAATGTTAGCTGCTATAAAGAGCACCTGTCCACTCGGCAGCTGGGCACTGCTCTGCTTTTGGTTTGCCAGTATGAGCTATAGTATCCTGATATAGAAAGATAAATCCATAAATCCTTTTGTCACCTGTAAAAGGACTCAACCGATTTTGGCTAAAACATCTGATAACTGGCTGTATTGAAAAGTGGACATGTGGTCAAAATGAAACCCGTCTCGTCGGACTTGAGACATGTTTTACTGACAGATGTAGTTGTTAACTGTGAATTGTCAAATATGACTGTCAGTTCTCACTTGTTACATAGCAGCAGAAACTCTCATAGATTAAATATTATAAATATTTCATTAAAAGTTAATGATAAAAAAACCTGTGTTCACATTTGACAGTTTAGTATTGCTGTAATACCACCTGGTGACTCTCTGCAGTCTCTGAAAAAGACTACAGTAAGTGCATGAAACTAATAAAATGTATGTAAATCTGTTTATTAAAATATTAAACAAACTCGTTTTAATATGTAGGGCTTTAAAAGTGGTATATTCTCTACTCTTTGAAAACTTCCGCTCAACCTGCAACTGTTACAGTTGATAAAATTTATTTTTCAGTAATTTCTTTATATCTATCCATCGTTTTTGCTGGTTATTTGGATTTAATTGTTTTATTTCAGTTAATTAAACATCATTTTAGTTGGTTCTTAGATTTTTTTTAGTATTTTTTAAGTACTTTTATATTAAATAATAATAATACACATTTTTAACAGTAGAATTTTAAAAAATCATTTTTTAATACCTCTCTTAGTTTGATTGCCTTATTTGATTATATTATTTTATCTTTTTATTATTTTATTATTTTAATCTTGCTTCATGTTTGTTGATTGTGCGAGGGTCACCCTCAGCGTATTCAGTGTTGAAGTAAAGGTTGATTGGTTGGTGGATTGATTCCGATACTGATAAATCCATAGAATCTTAACATGGGCTGAATTTATCAGCTAAATTATTTCATTTTCATCCTTTGGGCCTTATCTGTAACCAAGCTTTTGTGAGATGAAATAAGATAGAACCTGAATACGTAATTCAGAATAATCTCACATGAAAATAATGCAATGATTGAATATTTCTAAAATTTGAAAGATTGGTTTTCTGGCTTTAGTTGCCTCAAGTCTCATTTCAGCTGTGTGTAATCCTTGTGGGATTTTTTGTAGGGGTGTACGATCAGAGCTAGACAAATTTTGTCTAAACAAGCATTAAACAATTGGTCAGTTCATTGTTTTGATTTAGTTAGATCTGTGCTGTTCTATGGTGTAAATAACACAAGGTAGGTAAGTGCACTCGCGCTGTATTTGAATGCTGCTGTTACACCTGTACCAAAGTGATATAATTATACATTACTCATTGTGCTGCATAGCCAGTTGCGTCTTACTTCTGATGTAGCACTTTATTTGATTTCATGTTTTATAAATAGGCAACTGATACTTAATTTGTGAATGTAAAAGGCCTTTTTAGTCTGTTAAAGAGCAAAGAACGTTTATTTATATTGCAACTTTGACTAATAAAACGTACTGGAAATATAGGAACTGCTAGTGTGTTTCAAGAGTTCATTTAGCCCACACACTGTGAACTTTAGGTATTTATAAATAAATAAATAATTGCCTATTAAAAAATTGGCCAAAAAAGTTCTCTTAAATTGTAATGAAATTAGAACTAATATCTTATAGCATCCTGTATCCTATCAGGACAGTTCGCTTGAAACTTGAGGATTCTCCACAGAAAAAGTCTTCTTGATCCAGGACAAGGCTTAACCTCGTCTTCGGGAGCACCGACTCTTAGTGTATATACTTTGCTGTAGGAAGGTTGTGGGGGAGGTGGGGGGGTGCAGAGAGGAGAGGGCGGTGTCGGTTGGGAGTCGAGGGGTCGGGTTTCAGTTCTAGGTGTGGTTAGTGGATCTTGGCAGAGGGAGTGGAGGGGAATCTGCGAAAGCCCATGTTCAGCACCTCCACACTCCTACGAGGACACTCGCTGATCCCTCTCTGAGCCCCATCTGAATAAACAAACAGGGATGGCGGTTAGGAGAGCTCCTCGGTTACTTCGGGCTCAACTACTACTTGACTCCAGCTCTCATTAGGCTCGTTTCCACCGCACGGCCAGTAAGACCTCGGGTCCAGGGCCAGTTTAACATGCCATGAACATGGCTTTAATAGCGCTGGTGGCTGGTATAACGGCATATGCTGACTGCCAAGCGAGCTATTCAGATAACAGCGTGTGTGACAGCCAGCAGTCAGTATCAAGATAATATGCTCATCATCGAGCCTTAATACTGAGCTACTGTGAAGAACAGGTTCATCTGCCTAGTGTCATAACAGTTTGGACCCACAGAAACTCGCAATAAACGTTTTTGAGATGACTAATTAACTAAATATAAATACTAGAAGCAAACAAGATGTTTCTTCCACTGCAGCTTCTACTACTGCAGCTCCAGCCTGATCAGTAGAGTGATAGATAGTCTGATCAGTAGAGTGATGGATAGTCTGATCAGTAGAGCGATAGATAGTCTGAACAGTAGAGTGATGGATAGTCTGATCAGTAGAGTGATGGATAGTCTGACTAGTAGAGTGACACTTTTGATCACATGCTCTTTATACAGTTCCCCTGGCTTATTACATTAAGAGCTCTGCAGACCATTTGTAGTAGCATTTGTATTGTAGTTTTTTTATGATGTATTTTACTGTATCACTGTATCACTTTGAGGTTCCTATGGATGGTGCTCTATAAATAAAACTGTATTATTATTACTATCATATCATTATTATTTAATAACATTCATGGATGGCTGGTCACCCTTGTGGATCACCTGTGAAGATCTCCAGTCTACATTTTAGTACCCTGTCCCACAGGCTGCCACATTCAAGCTAATTGTTCTCTTACAAACCGAGAGCATAAACAGCCCGTTAGCCTCTATTTTTGTATCTGTTTACGATGGTGGGCCAGACGTGACCTTTCTGATATACAGACAGAGTGCGATGTTGGCATAAAGCCACTAATAGAATTATCACGGGGCCATTCTGAAACCATTATCGGTGGGTCGAGAGCCAGTGCACAGCTAAAGACAGGCACTCGACCCCCAGCAATCAGCCATGTATGGATTAGCATTGAATTAAGGAGTCTACTACTGTAGCAGGACAGTAGCTTGCTGCTCATTTTATTGGTGGTACTGTTGGTTTGATGATGATTGAGCTGAGCAATCCGTGTAAACTGTAAGGAGACGTTTGGCTTTTGTATGATATAATTGTAGTATAGTATTTTATATGTATAATATATGTAGTAGTACAATGCAAATCAAGTATTACCTCCAAGGAGCACAAGTCAGTCAATCCTATGGGTGCTTGAAGCTGACTTGTGCAAGGTTGCATCTATGCAACAGTAATGTATTGTTGTGTATGGATTGCAGTTTAAACACTGACCCTACCCTTTGACCCTAGAGTCACATGTGCTGCCCCCCCACCCCACCGACACACGTGCTGCTGTCAATTAAATCTTGACACTTCTTGACCCACAGTAAGGCTCGGCAAATCTAAACTATTCTAGCATTTGTCCTGTATTATGCAGCAGTGAATTCTTATTGAGTTGACGCTGAAATACAACAGTCTGTGTGGACAGTACAGCAGTGGCCTCTGCTCTTCTGACGTGAGTCCAGTAAGGCCTGCAGATGCAGTAAAGTTTTATGGAGCCCGGCATCTAGCATAAGGTTGGATGAGATCATGTCCAATCTATTAATGGCCTTTCTGTCTGCAACATTTGACAGCGTTCCACTGGTGAATGTGGCCCAGCTCTGTATGACTAATACTGTTGATGTCTGTTCCCACCCTCCCCCAGTCTGTTCCCTCATACCTGAGGTGGTATTGTGTTTCAGTGCCAGTAGGGGGCATAGTTGAGTGCAGCAGCCGTGGGGTCTATATCTATTACTTGTTTAAATCTGCAGTAGCGTAATAATAATAGCTTTTAGTTCAAAGTGCAGAAGATGTTTGTGTAATAAAAAGGATTTGATGTATTCAGCCAGCATCCCGCTATTTGGGTTGGGCATTACATTACATAACAGAGCGCCCTACTGTCTAATCTGGCGTCTAAATCTAATATTATCCACCACGAACTCTTACTCAGTGTCTTATCATCAGAACTTTATAGTGGTCACAACAAAGAGCTCTGCCCTCTGACTCTAGCAAGCCTATCACAAAACAGTACCTGGCAGTCACATGGAGTATCCATGTATATTGTTACATGCAACACTCAGTGCCTTAGTGTCAGGTTCTGACATTATTGCCAATCATAACACTGTGCCCTCTGGGGACCAATCGGAATGGAGCACTCTGCGTCCAGTCACAACAAGATGTTCTACAGTTCTGATCCTACAGCCAGGCAGAACTGGACATTGCCCAGCACCATTAGGAACATGGAGCCCGTCTGAACGCTTATTTTGGTCCACATTACCGACACTGTGATTTCTCCTAAAATGGCCTTTGACCACTTAATATCTCAGCTGTTTGCATTTTTTGGGAATGTATAATAGACATTTGAGGCTTTACGTTCAGTCGATGTTCTTATGTGTATTATGTTTTGAAGTTTCTCTCTCTGTCCTCTCCTGTAGTTTCCCCAGAGTAAGGCGAGCCCCTGGACGCGTCGTCCATATCTGCAACCTCCCCGAGGGCAGCTGCACAGAGAATGATGTCATCAACCTGGGTTTGCCCTTCGGCAAGGTCACCAACTACATCCTCATGCGCTCCACACATCAGGTAGGAGCCTCTGCTGCACATATAGGCCCAGGAAGGCATACAGTTCAGTCTAGAGATGGCTACTACAAAAACTACTACACTGTGAAAAAAATGGGTATGGATATTTATAGTTATTAACTCTAAATAATAAGTTTAAAAGGCATAACACAGATTGATGTTCTGGAAGCTTACTATTAAAATGTACGGCAGCCCAAACACTAACTTTTTAAAGTTAAAACAATTTTTTATTTTACAGTGTGAGCTTTAAAATGAGCTATTTTTAATTAAGGCACTTCACTTAAGATGAGCATCTAAAAGTAGGCCGTCAGTGCTGAAACTACTCAATCCCACAACTGCCTGATGCACAGGAGGAACTACACAGCTAGCAGCACCACATCACACAATATGAGAGAGTGCTGTTTGAGAACAGATTTGTTACCTGATCGGATGAGATTCATTCTTTTCTTATGTCCCGCCGATCGCATCCAGCATTTTCTGCTGCTATCTGCATCGAAAATCGTCCTTCATCTATAAGCCATTTAACCACATGGGCTCCAGAATAGTTTAGCAAACCTTTGTCAAGCACTACAATATGTAGTTACATCCACAAATGCCAATTAAATCTTTACTGTGAGTTTTTGAAAATGCAATCCAGGGTGGAGATTTTTAAAACTTTATTTTCTGTGTTTTAATGTGGACAAATGTTTTTGAAATCACACGTTTACTGCTGTTTATTGCCGTTTACTGCAATTTGATGAGTGGTAAACATGCGTTGTGGCTCTGCATGTCTGTCATTGCTGATAACCGAGCTGTGTGCGAGGTAATATCAGGTTTGATTGCATGATGTTACCAACCACACAAACTCATTTGTCTTTGATTTGTCATTAAAGGAGAAATAGTTTAAACAGCAGTGCAAAGTTCTTGTAGAATTAAACTACCTCCATAACAGTACCTGGACTGTCATGAAAGGATTGTTCATGCGTTGTTCTTTTATTGTTTCTGTACGTTTCACACTGAGTAAAATAGCATTTTTATTCTTGTGGCATTGTTGATCTTGATAAAAGTATGATTTTGAAGAAGGGTAAGTGTTTATGGTTAAAAGAGCATCATGCAAAAAAAAAGAAATAATCCTTGTATTTTTAATTTGGTGAAGGAAATTTTATGTTTGATGTTAAATTATTGACGGACTACTGACAGCACTTTTTCTTTTGCTGATTAATTGAGTGTTGATGCCATAATTAACTGGTTAATTGATTATGGAGATCGCTGTTAGTTGCAGTCCTAATATTGATATCCATCGATACTGATATGGCATCTCTAATTAAACCAGGTGTGTTTGAGGGAAAAATTGTGTGGGAATTGAGAGCGTTGTCTGTAAGGAATCAGTAATCAATGATGTGCCATTTTTTCATTTCTTTTTTCAAAAACATAATATGAAATATTGATAGAAATTTTTTTATATTTTGTGGAATTCATTTTTTATACATTGCACTACTGGTATTTGGTAAATTGGCCTTTTCCCGTTTTATTTATTTTTTGGTACAAAATTGTGAACCTCATATGTCCATCAGAACTGGTCCTGCACTAGAAAGGAGATGAGGCTTAAAATGTGTCTGGAAAACAGGTGCTGGTTTCGTTACCAGAGAGAGTAGAAATGAATAGAAACATCATGTGACGTACTTTCTATCTCTTTTAATTTTGAAGCACATGGATGATGTCTCACTTAGCCTCTCCTTTTTCATTTACTAAATATTTGATCGACTTTTTAATTAGGGGCTTTTAATGTCACCCAGATCAGATTCGGGGTCCTGGTCCTGAATTTCGCGTGGGTGTGAGATGCTCCACATTGAATCGAGCTTGTAACTGTCCACATGATTTATAACACTGTGAAAACCAATGCGCTGAAAAATCCATTTGCAAATCCTTTGACACATTTTACCGTAAACGAGTCGGCCACCGTATGTCTGGTGCCGTAGAGCTGGAGTGTGTCTGGGTTAACGGTAATTTTCCATTAGGCCTTCCTGGAGATGGCGTATGTGGAAGCAGCCCAGGCCATGGTGCAGTACTACCAACTACAGCCAGCTAAGATCAACGATCAGAAGCTCCTCATCCGCATGTCCAAGAGATACAAGGAGCTGCAGCTTAAGGTTTGCAGAATACATGGTATAAATGTAAAATAATTAGTTTAATTCTCTTAGTGAATTTAATTCAGATCTTGAGTTCACAGAACTGGCCTTAACCAAGTGAGTTTTCTTTTAGTACAGTCACAAATTATGCATGGAACTTACTTGTATGATGTGGGCCTTGACCAGTGTCTGCTAAGTCTATGCATGTTCATGTGAATCAAAGCAAAAGCCCTTTCTATTCTTCTGTCCATGCAGAAACCGGGTAAAGATGTGGAGTCCATAATCCAGGATATTAACTCTCAGAGGGAGAGAGGGGAGATGCAAGATATGGATCGGTAAGAGATGACAAAACAGCACATGATATAATTGTGTCAGCATTTAAACTTTTACATAAAGTCTTAGAAGCTGCAAGACGTGTTTCAGGAACTCCTGGAAGTACCCTTTAAGAAATGCTCTTGAGCTAATTTAGTTTTAGAAACAATACATCTTTAAATAATATATTATAATACATGATACATAGCGCTGTTGTCGGAAGAAAACCTCGTATCTCTGTTTTTGTCGTTTTTCAGTTTTTGAGATAATTTGAAAGTGCCTGTTACCCTATACATCGTGAGTAAATTTCATGATGATTGGACTAAAAGAAATGACCCAAAATGACTTGGGGGGAAAAAGTCTGGTTCCATTGACTTACATTAAAAGTAAAGTAGGTTTTTTCCTTCTCCTGTAAAGTTACCATTTTGGAGATACGAGGTTTTGATGCACGTCATTATAATTTTACTGTATGTTTGTATCTGTATGTCTAGGTACCTGCCAGAGCGAGCACGCTCGCGCAGTCCTATCAGTCGCTCCCTGAGTCCGCGCTCTCACAGCCCCAGCTTCACCTCCTGCAGTTCCACCCACAGCCCCCAGGGTTGCCGGCCAGACTGGATCAATGGCCTGGGCCCTCGCCGCGGATCCTGGGACTGGACGTCCCACGGGCGGCGAGACGAGGACCCTCGCGATAGAGATGAGTGGAGGAACGGAGAGGACGAGAGGCCTAACGGCCGGCTCTCTGAGCGCAGGAAACCTTACCTCAAACCTGGGGAGCGGGGCAGCCCTCGCATGGACGAACGCGGCAGGGACTGGTACCCCCGCGGCAGCCCCCAGGGCCCGCCCTTCTCCTCCTACCACACTATGGACGACTTCTACAAAAAAGAGCCCGCATACAAAGCTGAAAAGACCCTCCGGACACCCCAGAACCAGAGACATGAGGGGAAGTACAAGAGAAGAGACGGCACAGACCACCACAGAGCCAGACACTCAGAGTCAGATCTAACTGAAGATCTTGGCTCCAGCAGGGCTGCTGAGGAGCGGGGACGCAGCAAGAGGACGAGCAGGAGACAGGAGCGAGAGGACAAAGAGACTGAGAATAGTGTAAGACATAAATGCAGCAGCCACACTTTATTCTCAACTTCTTTCTGTAAGAGTAAGTGCTTCGGAAGCTCATATCATCATGTTCATGTATGTCAGTGGTGCTCAGTACTGGTCCTGGAGATCTGCCACCCTGGAGAGTTCAGATCCAACACACCTGGAGCTAATATTCAGAAGCCTTTGAAGGCCTTCATGGATCAGGTGTGTTAAATTAGGGTTGGAGCTAAATTGGAGCTGCAGGGTAGTCACTCTTCAGGACCTGGATTAGGCTCCACTGACTTACACCTTGTGGACCCTGCTTTCATTAATGCCGTTGTTGCTGTTGAGAGAAATCTTCCAAAACGGCTTCTTTTTTCAAGGATCAGTTGTATCAGCCATGCTTTAACACTTACATGCATACAACGGATCACTAGGAACCCATAGCCTGATTTCCCCCTCTACGATGTCGATTCTTTTCATTAAAAACAATATAGCGAAATATATCAATGTATTTTATTTAGAGCTGTCAAGTGATTAAAACAGTTAATCACATTATTTTGTGTAGTTAATTTTGATTAATTGCATTTGTTATTAAAAAAAAATTAGCACTGTTAATAATTGACTGTGTTAACTTTGGCAGCCCTACTATTGTACGTAAATATATATATATATATATATATATTATCTGTTTTTATTTTTATTGTCATTCAAACGTTTTGCCAGTTTTCTCTGTCATGGCAAATTGTAGATCAACTTGTGTGGAATGATTTTAAAAAGATAAAAGTGGGGAATGGTTGATAAATCATCCATTGCATCAGCGAATCATTCATGCAGCGTAAGAAGATCAAGCTTGTCCAAAAAGTCTCTAAAGCCTGTGCTGATTGTGTGATTATCTTTGTTTACTTCAGAAAGAAGCTACTGAGCATCGAGCCAAAGACAGATCATCGCCTCCCCACAACAGCAAACCTTCTGAACCCACAGAATGTGAGCGAGACAGAGACAGTGAGGTAACCACAAATAGACCCATTTACCTGGTTTCAAAATTGTTGTCCAAAGAAAAACGTATCTCCAAAATGGTAATTTTATAGGAGAAGGCAAAAATATTCTTCACTTTTAATGTAAGTTATTGTGGCTAGATTTTAAATATTATATTGATTTTGGAACATTTCTGTTGGTCTATTAATTGTGAAAAGAACCGCGCTGCATTTAAGTGATATAGAAAAGTAAAAATCGCTAAAAATTAAGATATGTTTTTCTTTAGACAGCGACGAAATGCTTGTTCTCACACAGACTATCACACACGTCCACTGAATAAGCTTTAGAACAGTGTAAAAATGAGATTTTAACTATAAAAAAATTAGTGTTTGGGCTGCCTTAATTCTAAGTTTAAAAGGCATAAAACAGATTCTTGTTCTGTTACTTTACTATTTGAAATTCAGCTCATAATTCAGGCTTCCTGAACACTTTTTAAAATTAAAGCTTTTTTTTTTTTTTTACACAATACATTAGCAGGCTAGCAAGTAAGTGTGGTGTTGGGACTGTTGCTTACTACAATGATGAAGGATTTTGTGGCACAGACTCATAATTAATAGTGTGTAGAGTTAATTTTGCATTCAGAAAACCATAATTCATTAAAAAGAAAAAAATCAGTGATACCCATACTACAACAAATCATCAAAATATATATTTTTTATTTGTTATATATAGATATGACATATAAGATATTTAAACTTTGTTGCACATTTTTCACTTGTTTTAAATAATTTTATCCATTGAAAGTGTCTTGACAAATAATTTTGCTTGTTTCAGGCATTAATATTAATAATAATAATAATAATAATAATAATAATAGAATAAAGCTGTCACAGTCATGAAACTGTTTAATTAATTGTCATATTGTTACAAATGAACAATTTAATTGTCTTTTCTTGCATGTTATGTGTATCTATTGAGATACAAGCTAAAAGCAGCCAAATGTGTTTATTATCTATGTTTACTAGGTAGCTAACACTTGTAATACTGTCATATTGGTACACTGCACTGTTGGGTGCACACACTCTTAACACAAATGGCTCAGTTATACAGAATCATGTGTAGAGTTAAGCAAAGAAAATAAAAAAAAAACCCATTCTGTTAGCATGCATGCTAAAACATTAGAAATAGCTACATAGCTAACAAATAAACAGATATTACGTGTAAAAAAAACGTCTTGAATCTACTGAGGTCTATGATTATATGCTTCACAGATTGGTTTGGTTCAAATAAATAAAAGTCCCCTGAAAAAATAAGCCCCAAAAAAATCACAACAGCACTAGGATTTGTCAGAACTCATGTGCTGGTCCTGTGTTTCCCAGGTGGAGGAGTGGGTGAGCGGGGAGGAGACAGAAGGTGAGAGCTGGTACCCGAAAAGCATGGAGGAGCTGGTAACGGTCGATGAGGTCGGGGGAGAGGACGACTCCATCATCGAGCCTGATCTCCCTGATCTTCAGGAGGAGGAGCCAGCGGAGGAGCCTAGCCAGCCTGCATCCAGCCCAAATCCCAACCCCAGCACAGAAGTTCCAGCACAGGCAGAGAAGACCCAGGAAGAACCTCTTCCACCTCCAGATATCAGTCCAGAAAAGACATCCAGCCTGAGTCTGGCTGAGTCTAGAGAGCCCTCAGTGAGCAGCAGCGCTCCAGACCAGCCCTGCTCTCAGCTCTGCCTGTTCCCCAGCCAGGAGTTCAAAAGCGCACTAGAGGAGTCCTCACATACAGAGCCACAAACACCCAGAGCCACGCCAGACAGCCTGCCCAACCACAGCCGTGCATGTGAGGTGGCGTGTGAAAGAGAGAAGGCTGTGGATGCACAAACAGCCGGTGAGACTGTTGGGCCGGCGCAGCCTGACAAGAAGGAGACACAGCACATAGAGGAGAACCAGAAGAGAGGTAAACACAGAGCCAAGGAGAGATCAACAGCATTCAGCTGCTTTCTTTACATTCACTGTGCGAAGGTCACCACCCTTTTGTTTGATGCATGCTGGATATTGCAGTGAAGAAACACAGATAACATGACAAAAAACATTATGAAAGTTCTTCCTACCAGCTTAACTCTTTCCTAAATTTTTTAGAAAAAAATCTTAATCCTAAATTTGTCTGTAAAGGCACTTGCATATAACGTGGTCCCCTATGTTTCGTATCAAAATGCTTTGTTAATCTTTGTCGCTACTTTCCAAAACCGCTGCAGCAAATTCAGCAGCTGTGAACTCTTTGCATGCCATTTCACGTGCCTCAGATAACGACTGAAGGTGTGTCCAGAGTGATGGGTCAATCCTTTATGATATGTCCATTCGTCAGTTTCACACAAAATGTAGACGGACACACGAATCCACCGGTTACACACGGTGAGAGACAGATGACGTGTATTGCAACCCCACTTTATAGCCTCATAACTCTGGATGTGAGTAACGTGCGATTTCATAATGAGATGTAATCAAAAGAGTTTGATTTGACTCTACAGATATTTCTGCGTTGTATTATCTCAAAGATGGAGAAGCTTTAGGATTTGACGCGGGAACACGTTTGTGGACTCCAGAGGATTAAAGAGGAGTTTACAAAACTGGACTACAAAAATTAGTGTAAAAAATAATTTAAAAAAATATATATATTTCAGTTAACTTTAACAAAAAAAATCTGATTGCTACATCAGAAAGCATGACACATAAAGAAGTTGCTCTGATTACATTATACCGTGCAAGTGTTAGAGCACTCTTTGTTAGAGCAAACACCATGCCAGTGCTGCGCTGATTGACTAAAGTGACCGTAATGTTCTTCACTTCTCTGTTCTTTTATTTCCAGACGCCCACATCTCAGTGCCTGCCGATTCACCCCAGAGGACAGATACTGAGACTCCCTCACCATCACGAGAGCAGGAGAAAATCGTCAGTGAATACAGCATCCCACTAGGTGACTATCCATCACCTTCGTTGGCTCTGTTAAAGATTCAGGGCCTGATGTACTAAGACTTCTGCACCAGTTTCAACTGTGAATTAGATGCATTCTGCCTGTGCATCATGTACAAAACTGGCACAAACCTAAATTTGCAGCTTATAGACCATAAGCATAAAAAAGGCTCTCTCATGCAGATGTATTTGAGGCAGGATCGTGTGAAATGTGGGAGGAAAATGCGCAGAGATATTTGAAGTGTGACAGATTACACATGCTCAATTTACAAAGTTTGAGCCTCTATAAGTAGCAGTTTTTATGTTGATTTTTCTCGGCCTCTTGAGTTGGCGTTAAATCTCTGCACAGTTTGAGTACAAATTATACACGATTAAATTAAGAGCTGTCCTAAAGAATCAAGGCATGTTCTCACAACGTATTAACTCGATTACGTTTTACAACGTGGAAAAGTGCGGTTCCTCTGAGGGCTGTTTGGACAGCCGTTGTCGGGTGTGCTGTTGCAGTGTGGCGGGTGAGTAAACGGAGCTCGGACGTCACTGCAGCACATGCTGTGTGGTTTCAAACTGAAAGGTGTGAATGGCCCCCATGAGGCAGGAGCCTGTCCTCTCATTAAGCAGTGCTCAGACAGCTGACGCTCTTACATCACAGACACATGCACACCCACGAACGACACAGGCGTACATGTGCACGTACATGTACACATTAACACTCGAGACACAGGTTGCGCATGTAAGAGTGTGATATGAGTAAATGAAGCAGAGTTTTGTTTGGACAGTTTTAACTCTGACTGACTACAGAGCACTTCTTAAGAACTAGTTTCTCTAAGCCTTACAATACAACCAGTGCTAAATATGGCCTGTTTGCTGACCCTGTTGCTCAGATCCAGTCTTGAAAGTCCAAAGATTTAGTGTAATAATAAAGTAATAAGCCACAAGAGGCTGAGGGTGACTGTGTTTTTATCACGGGGAAGTAACAGGGAAGTAATGCACGGCCTCGAGTGGCTTTTTGCATTTATAAAACAGCGGCCAACATAAAATATATTAAAATACACAATGTTTTAGATAATTATTTAAGGTATTATTAATAATAATAGACTGAAAAACAAGCATTATGCCAAGAAATGTAGTTTCTTTAGAGTACAGTATTGTTGCTAAGCAACCATTGACTGCTGAATGAGGAGAAGAACGTTTGGTTGCCAATCACTGTGAACTGCAGACGTTTCATGACTTTTTTTAAACGTTTTGTTGTGGAACAGTGAACATATGATAACACATCACTGTTTAATGCAAGTATTTTTTGGTTCACCAAATCACCACCACGAGTCTCTGCCAGTCTGACGACGCCACTTTTCTCACACTGGGGCTGAATCTCAAACGGCTCCCTGCCCCCTACATAGTGCACTACGTAGGAATTTAAATACTGACTCCTTCAGCCCAGCAATGCAGAATATCGCTAAAAATGGTCATTTGGGATTTCATCCATATTCATACGTGACAGGCAAGTCACTATTTGACCGCAGAAGCTAGACTTTCTAAACTTAATGTTACATAGCTCACTATTTAGCTAGGGAGTATGCAGCCGTTTGGGACTCAGTCTGGGTTTGATGCTACTTCTGACTGAAACATGAACATTTGAAGCGTGTAAGACATTCAGGTGACATTCATTAGACTTTTATATTGCCGTTTTTCAGTGAATCATATCCTGAGTACTTTAATTCAAGCCTGTGATAATAATGATGGAGTTGTTTAGCATGTTTGCTATCTTTAAGCCTGTTGGCTAGCTGACCAGCCTAGTTCTAGATAAGAAAATAAGTTTTCAGCCGGGTTCTTACTTCATCAGTTCACTCGGTGCTCTGTGTGATCAGCATTAGTCTGACTTGTAGGATATCTGTGGCTGTGTGTTTTCTCAGGTGTGGAGTTCATCGTACCCAGGACGGGCTTCTACTGTAAACTCTGTGGCCTTTTCTACACCAGCGAGGAGACGGCTAAAACTACGCATTGCCGGAGCACCGTTCACTACAGGAATCTACAGGTATGCATAGGCCTGTCAAAGTTATTACCTAATCACTGTTTTTTGAGATGATCACAATTATTTAAGCTGATTGCAACCAGTTTCCAGTCATTTGATTTGATTATCATATTAAACCACAACAAGCATTTCATTGGTTGTTTTCGATTGAAGCAAATAAATGTAATTAAAAAAATGCTGTAACCGCATTCTTTGAGACACATCATGAAACTGTGGTAAAAAAAAAGTTATGACGTCTGACTGATTGCTGTGAGAGTTTGTTTGTGTGCCAAATAGTGTGGTGTATCAGTGCTACCAGTGTTGGCTACTACGTAAACATGGCTAGGAAGCAAAACGGCAAATAAGCTACTTTTGGCCACTTTAATAGATGCGTACAGTGAACAGGGAAGACAATTAAATTGTTAATTATACAACACTAATTGTCAGCTAAAAGTTCTCAGCTCTGGGTATGCACAGTTAGTAATCATCAGGGTTGTCAAATAATTAAAATTATTGACTGCAGTTAATTGCATAGGTTTGTGTATTGACTCAGAATTAATCACCTTTGTTACATCTCTAATTTGGCTCTTTTTTCCTGATTTAAAAAGTGTATTTTGTTCTAAGTTACATGAGAGGACAAAGTAAGCTTCTTCAGAATGTGTTTACTACTGAATATAAACACCTGTAAATGCAGGGTGGACATAAAAATAAGCTAAACACAGTTTCAGTTTTCATCACTGATGTTGAGCGAGAGTAACAGTAGCCTGTTCCAACTCCTCAGTGATTATAGACCTCTCGCTCTCATAGCACTGTTACATCATGTTTTAAAGGGAACTGTAGCTTTCCGCCGTGCTGCTGCTTTTGTTAGTTTGCTCCTTCATAGTTTATCTATAGTTCTCCTGCATTTACTGTCCACTTTAGTGTAGTATTTTGTTTGTGAATGATACTTGAGACATAGTGTACTCCAGTGCTAAAGTCACAGCAGCATGGCATCAGTCAAAGTTCTTACTGTTTAGAAGCTGCATTTGAACATGATGGCTCTTTTTACCAAGAGGGCCAGAACACACATTTCTGGGCTGGAATTAGAGGTGGTTTTAAGGGTCAAACAAGGAAAATGTGAAGACGTTACAGACGTAACAGGCACACAAAACAGCACTAAGATTTCACTTATTGTTCTCAGAAGTAAGATGTAGTCATTACTTGTGCCACTATTTGAATTACTAACCATTTATATAGTGTTGTAAAGTTTCAGTTAATGGTTATAATGTTTTAAATAGGATACATTAATTGACTCCTTAATGATTAAGCATAAGTAAAAGTTTATGCATCACAAAATAGCTAATAAAAAATACTTAAAATGTTCACTAAAAGGCTTAGTAAATAATCTGAGTTATCAGATAACTACATCATTATTAACAAACCATAATTAATTATTAGGTTAATTAATTTAAATTATTTACTGTTATATGCTGGAATACAGAGCTGTCTGTGTATTAATCCAAACTTCGTTGGTCATTTGTCGAGACTGTGCTCCTGTTATGTTCTCCTCTTATCTCCGTGCTCTTTGGCTCCTGGTTTTTGAAGGATCTGTATGGACTAAGATGCAAACATGGAGGCACCACGAGAACCAGTACAAAACGTTTTGCATGCCTAGTGGAAAGAAAGCGATTGATTAATAATAAACATCTGTAGCAGACACTTGCTGTGCGGGTCCATATGAGTGTCAGCAGCGTAAAATAAGTAGACTGATAAAGAACTGTAATGGCATGCTGTGATACTGAGACCTGGCTGGCGTTTGGAGAGAGATTTCATTACCCCCCCTCATCATCACACGGGCCAAATTACCGCCACATGCTGCTGTTATTAGTTATGACAAGCGTAGCTCGTCAAGAGCCCTCTTGCCAAAAGAAGAGGGAAAGGTATGACTTATGACAGCACATGGTCCTTTGCCCTTGGGACAAGGGAGAGGGGAGTGGGAGAGGTCGCCCCCTGCTGGACTGGGAGGCAGAGTAAAGGTAGAAAGCCCTTTTTCAGCCTCTCATTGAGAAGTTAATATGTACTTTAAAAAGGAATCCCACATATTTTTCTAAATTTCTCTGTAATTCAATCACTGATCAACCAGGGAAGCTACGCATGGCTTTTTAGTTTTTATATGTAATGTTGATGCTAAAATAGTATAAATCTGAAAAAATAAGTTTTGCGTGGGGACTATTTTGTCTTATTACTTCATACATGACATTGATGCATTTTTAAAAATACATTTTAAGCCAAAACCTTCTAAAAATGATCTTAAAACAATGTCTCAGGCATTAATCAGCATATATTAAATAGCTTTCTGTGAGGGAGGGTTTAGAGTTATTGCACTCTTCAGACGTCTCGTTCCTATCACCACCACTGTGAACAACTCTGACTCTGTAAAGTTCTCTAGAACGGCACATTCCACATTGAACTACTCTGAATGACATCGTTTACATCATTATAATGTAGTTATACTTACAACTTAAATTTCCCATTTATGCAGCAACGGTGGCCGAGACGGCAGCAATGTTCAGCAAAAGCTGCTTTTCACATGCGCACCACTGTTATAGCCTGTAGCACTATTGTAGCACACAACTTTGACATAAGCTCTAAACTGTGAGGTTAAACTGAGCTGATTTTGTGTTTGTGTTGAATTAGTATTTTATTTACACTTGATAATGACATTATTGTTATTTCTCCAGTGGTTGCAGAGCAGTTTTTTCAAAAACTCAAATTAAGCCGAATTTTTGGCTTTATATGTCAAAAAAAATCATCTGCTTGTATTAAATACCAGAGACTACAGCAGGGCAAAGCGAATAGTAAATCACCCATCAACCCAGCTGAAAATCACCCATCTTTGTAGCAGCCCCTCACTCAGGCCGGTCTCTGGGCGGGGATTGGTTTGCCCACTAGTCTCCCTCATTTATCGCATTGTATGCATAGTGTCTTTCACACTCATGTTCGGACATGCCCACACACACTGCCCGCGCTCCAGCTGAGGTCAGGGAGGAAGCGGAGATTGCTCCAGCATCTGCTGAGATTAGAGCTCTGAAGACCAGCAGCTGTTCCGTCAGTCAGAGGAAAGTTTAAGAAGAGCGGAGGAACCTCTAGGACTCGCAGCCCACACACAACACGGGACTTTAACAAGGCTACAGAGAAAATCAGAGACAGAGGGGTTAAATTACTTCGCTCCTGCCACCAGAAACCATTGTATAGCACAACTGCAGTCATTCAGGGGAGGAGAACTCCAGCTGCTTTCCGGCTACAGTGGAGGGAGAAACAAACGGAATCAGAGAGGAATAGCAGGCTGTATCTGCATCACAGAGAGCAGATTTCAGCTTTTGATACCTACAAGTCTAAATTCAGAGGCTGAAAGAACTGAATGAGGGCGATACACAACCATGTAAAAGTTCAGAGTAGATAGTTTCAGTCAGTGTTGGGCGGTATCTTCTTTTTAAATACCTTCAGACCGTCTTCAAAAATTACTGCAGTAAACGATGTAGAAAAAAAGAGTAGTTCGCTTAACATGGTTACCAAATAAGTGGACACAGGGCTCGATTTTCAAGCCATTATTCAATAAATGTCGAACCCTCTACACTGTTAGAAATAAAGGTTCTGTGCAGGGTAAAGTTTTTGTTCATCAAGATACAAACCATGTAAATGTTCCCTCAAAGGTACAACAGTGGTGTTAAGGTCCAATTGTGGACCTTAAATAAGTTTTTCCAGGTGAAAAGTTTATATTTGTACATTTTCATAACCGAATGTTTTAAAACAGAACAGTAAAAAAAAAGCCTGGAGGCGAGACGGGGTGTGTGGAGTCAGTACAGCTTAGAGAAATATCATTTCAGTGGATTATGGTTCAGTTATGTTCCCTGACTAAGGGTACTGAGATGTACCCTTGAGGGTCCCACCCCAGTGATAGTTCACTACCTTTTTTTTTCTGAGAGTCTATTGAACAGTTCATAAATGTTAAACGAGGCTGCTAATTGGGAGAGCTGGTTAGCATTAGCTCCGCTAGCATGATAACAGTGCTGCCCATCACAGAACATATTCGATTCTAGCTAAAGCACTGACACAAGTTTACATGATGAAAGTTAATGAATAAAGTCTGACAGAGTGAAGTCGAGCAGCCGCTGAAGGGACGGAAAGGGCATAATTAAACCTGCTCTGTGATGTTTATATCTGTAGCCTGATATGCTACCTTAACATAGCTTAGCAAGCAGGCTGCAGATCCAAACAGTGCCATTCATTGCGGTACAGGTCTGACTCTGAGAACTGGTGCTCTGTGTTTTGAGCAAATTGAGATGATAAAAATGTTTTAAAGGGATAGCGCACGGTTTGGGGAATAGCACACCGTTTAGAGGATAGCGCACGGTTTAGAGGATAGCACACCGTTTAGGGGTTAGCATAGCCCAAAAGGAGAAATAGTGCTTGTATCTTTCATTTTTTACATAAAGCATTGTGTATGGCATTAAATATTTAGTACCAATCATTGGCAAGCTTATAATATTTTCCTTTTATGATGAATTGATCATTAATTACAGACCTAATAAGTATTTTTCTGTATAATATAACAAAAAGTCTTAATATGACAACTGATTGCAAGCTTGAATTAGTGTATGATGGGGCAGGAAACATCTGCTTCTCCCACATTCTGACCCTCTTCACTGTTAACCCCAGTCAACCCCAATCATATTTTCTGTACTAAGACAAAAAGACTAAGTAATACAAATGCAAAGGTAAAGACAGTAGCATTCAAAAACGACCAAGGAGCAGAAGACATGATTGACCGTTAGGCTGTTGTTTTCTTAGATAGGTGTAAACTTGGCTAGCTAGCAGTATAATGTGAGTCAGCCACCTTTTAATAGAGTGTCCATGGCTTCTTTTCAACTGCAGGGCTGAACGGTTCTGAGCACGAAGGGGAACCGTCCCAGTGGCGTTTCCACACGGACACGGTTTGACACGGAACACTTAAAACCAGGCTCAGCCTGTTTTTTTTTTTTTTGGTTAGCTAACCGTACCGAGCCACAGAACCGTTCAGTGGGATGATGTAATGACATAGCTGTTCACTGATTGGTTCTATGTTTGTAACGGTATTGTGCCACAGCATCCTGCTGCACTATTTCAGACCCAAAAACAGTCAAATAAGTTTCCCTTAAATTGCTCAAATAAATGAAAGCAGTGCACAATTTTAAAACCACCATTCAAAAAACATCAAAGCTTCAGTCTAACACCAACTTCTAAATGTTACACAGCGCTGCTAACCAGAAGAGAGTAGCTGGTTAGTGTTAGTTTAGCTGGCATACTGCCAGCGCTGCTCACCACAGAACAGGTTCGATTCTGACTAACAAAAGCCTTACTGACACAAATTTAGATGATAATTACTCAGCTCTGAGGAAGTCAAGCGGCTGATGTTAAAGGACCAGAAAGCCGAAATTAAACCTCTTCTCTGGTGTCTGAAGCTGGAGCCCCCTGCTAAGCTAATGGTAGCCGGCTCCTCTCTCCTACCTAACTTAGCTTAGCTAAAGAGATCCAAACACCACAGTGCAGGTTCAATTCGACTGACTGCTCTGCTGTCACAAGTATAGATGATAAAAACTTATAATAACAAGAGCAAAGATAATTAATCGGTGTTGGAGTGACAGAAAGCTAAAGTCGGACCTCTTCTGTTAGACCTTTAAGCTGTAGCCTGCTAGGCTAAGCCAACACGAGTGCATCAATGCTTGAAAACGCGTTGAGAAGATAAAGACTCGTATCTGAGAGCACAAATTTTGAATGACTGGAGTTGAAGTGACAGTAAGATATAAAATAGAATTGTTCTGTGGGGCTTTGAGTTGGACCCTGCTGGTCGACCCTAATGCTAATGGTATGTAGTGAAGTTTCCTTCTACAGTCGGCCCCATGCCATCCCCCTGCCCTTACTGTCCTCTTTTTTAGAAACCAAAATACTGTCACCCTACTTTTATATAAGATACTAGTTAATTAGCCAGTAACTTTCTCATATTAACTGTAAGACTTTTTCATTAAATGATATCACCCCATGGTGGCTTAAGGCTCTAATCAACTGCGTATATTGCTTATAGCAAGAAACAGCCCTGAAATGTACCACTGTTCAGTTTTTTGTGTTTCTTACTGTAATACAGAGCTAGCCTGCCTAAAAGCGATCATAACCCCATCCCTACACCTGATGAGAGAAGAACATATTTTTATACTATATATAAGTTATTAAAGTCTCATTTTACTTAAGTTGTATTTATATATTTTAGTTACAGTAATATAGTAATATATTATTATATTAGTATAGTATAGTAATATAATAATATAGTGTAATGTTAAGAAAATCATTATAAAGCTATATTTGAAACCAGCTGACCTCCTTCATAAACACTGCACTCAAGACAAATAGTTGGGCAGCCCTACACTAATACCTCTGACGCGTCACCTAAAGTAACTATCTGATGGAAGGAACAGGTGTGTTAGAACATTAGAACACTAAACTCGGCAATGATGTGACCGTCCAGGATTGGTTTTGGACATCCTGCTGCAATGTAATAGGCGAGCTGTTGTGTCCCGTGCATGTTGTATTCCATTTCTGTAATGCGAGTTATGCTTGCTGTGTCTCTGCAGAAGTATCTGTCTCAGCTGGCAGAGGAGAGTCTGCTGCACTTCCACGCCGACCCAGCCAGCACAGAGTGAACCCGGACAAGCCTGAGACGTTACCACCACCAGGGGGAGTCGAGCAGTGCTGAGCTCCACTCGTAGCCCAGGAGTGCCAAGCGGAGAGGACGATTAGAGACAGAGCAAAGACAGAGAGAGAGAGAGAGAGAGAGAGCGTAAGAGAGACGGCGAGGAAGTATGACAGAGGGAAGGGCACAGGACAATGAGCCTGTGTTTACTGTGGTTTCGTGTGCTGTGTGCACACTGAATCCAGAGAAGAGGGAGGTTGGTCTGAACTGGACTGAACCACTGCAGGGGAAAGTGAAGGTCACCAGGTGGAGCTCAACCCGAAGGTGTAAAACCTGTTTTTTGTAAACAAATCCTGCCTTAAAACAATCAACTCATTCGGTGAGTTAGCCAAAGTAGGTTAAAGTGATGTGAAGCTTGTCTTTTTTAAGGCCCTGTCTGTTCTCCAGCGCAACCCAAAGATGGATGGAATTGATTTCAATAGCAGCACAGAACTCCTGCCTCAAAGACAACTTTCAAAAAAGAAAGTCTGTCAAGTCGTTCAGTCACCCAACTGTGAATCTGTGTCGATCTACTGTTAAAATGGTTAAAACAGTCTCTTTCTATTAGAGACATGCAATAGCTTGTGTCATATTGGAGCAAGCAGAAAATACCGGATCAGTTATTGGAGAGAAAAATCCAGTCCTGTAACATATCAATCTAAAAATGAGGTTTTTATATAGGCTTCGTAAAATAAGCTCACACACTCACAGAAGCATTATAAAGTAGCATACTTTGACGCAGCTCGGCCTGGAGGAGGAAAACAATGCGGTATCTCATTAATATTTACACATATTTGCATTTGCAAATTAGTCACAGATTTCCTGGAAATGAACTCAAAGACCCGGAAACATTGTAAACATGTCCAGCTTGAACACGGCTTCATGAAATAACCAACACTGGTGATGCTAACCGGCTTACAGGCTGGTCCAGTGATATTCAGAGTTAGACTTTAGGAAGGATTAACTATGAAAGCTGCAGCATACAAAGTAAAAGCTGCACGCGACATACCATCAGCCTTTTCTATTCAGTTTAAGTGACCCAATCTTTCAGATGAGTGCAGAATCCCCAAAAAATATAGTACCGCGTGATTTCCCTCAGGCATCTATAGCTGAATTCCAAAATGCCTCCACTATAATGATGGAAAACACCTTTTGTTTTTGTATGTAAAGGACTGGACACAACTCATTTACAAAAGCACATGTTGCAGCCTGAGGTTTCTTCAGCAGGGAGCGCTCTTAGCACACAAGCCATGTCTTTTAATCAGTTAAAGCCAAAAAGCAACCACAAGAGGTGAAGTAGTGTTCAAGTGTTGTGTTACTCTTGTATTATTTATTCTGTGATTTACATTAAAAGATGTAATTAAGTCGGTTTATGTTAAAAAATATATGTATAGGCCTACATCATGGTCTAAATAAAATCTCAATGTAGGCCATAGAAATCAAAAATGGAGATGCATCGAAAATTGGAGAAGAAAAAGTGCTATTGCACCGTCTCCATTGTCTATATTTCGTTTATTCTCAAGCCCAGCACCGTCAAACTGTGGGTTAAAGAAAGTCAGAATGCACAGTTTAGCAAAGAATGTTCTGACGGATGTGATGTTGTCACAGATTCTGTCCGTTTAAAGGACGCGTGATGAAAGCTAAAGTGGCCTATTGTTGTAGAAGGCTAAACGCCACAAATTAGCAGGATGTAGTTCTCATTATGTTCATTAGACCCGAAACATACTTTACGCAAGGACGTGAACGCAGATGACAGCGCTCGGCCAACGCACTGCAAACGCTCAGTCCTGCTGTACAAACTCACCGCGCGTTCTTACGTTGCTGTGGAGGTTAAAACACTCAGTACTGAAGGGGGCGATAGAGTACAAATCAGAGAGTGATCTACTGTTATTCCAACAGCCTCAACAGCTAAACTTGGACAGTAGAGGAGAGTGAGCGGCTTTACCTCGTCTCTTGGATTGGAAATACGATAATCGTATTTTTATGTCACCTTTGCGTGAGACTCAACTGCTCGTCTGCCATAGCAGTTGAGAAGCACGCTGACCGCTTGGTCAGGCTTGGCTGAAGTTACAGCGCCCCCTTGCTGTAACGCCCAGAATGCAGCTCGCACTTGCGCCACGTTATGAAATGCGTTGTGACACATTTTTGAACGCAGCTACGTGTGAAACCCCGTCTGCGTAGCTCGAAGCGTCTGCGCTCGCGTCCTTTCGTGAACTATGTTTCGGGCCTTAAGGTCTCCTGGATTTGAAGCAATGTGAATTTCTTTATCGGATCGTAATACACTGGACGTCCTTGAAACTGGACTAAGATGATTTTATCTGATTTTAAGTGCCTTTCTACAGTCAGGAGGTAAAACTCGTGCTCAGGTCAGTGAGAAGTTACTCATCAATGCCACTCTACACATTTATACTACTAATATTTTATAAAGAATCAAGCGCTGTGCAGGTGTTGGGATTCACTGCCGTCTCTCTGGTTTTGGGTCTTGAATTCGTTTCATGCTTGTATATCAGGTTGGAAGCAGATCAAACGGTGTATAATGTTTAATACATAAAGCTCAAGAAAGTAGCAATACTTGAACTGGACCATGTGTGTTATTTATCCTACTTCAGGTGAATTCATGTAAAAAGGAAAAGTGATGTGTGTGATGTTACGGTAGCTTTTAGCAAGATTTTTTTTTTGTATATTATTGATATTTGTGTCCCAGTTGTGAGACACTACTGATCTTTCTTTAAAACTGTTGTGGCATGTTCTGATGCAGATATGTCAATAAACAGTTTCGAGAAGAAGTGCTGCTGGTTTTGGGTGATTATTATGTGTGTGTGTGTGTGTGTGTGTGTGTGTGTGTGTGTGGGTGTGTGTGTGTGTGTGTGTGTTTGTCTACTCCAGGGTGTCCAACGTCCGGTCCCAGGGACAAATGCGCAGATTTTCATTGTTTTACAGTGTTCTAAGCGAGTTGCAGATCTTCCTTTCACCTGATGGTGGCAGCAGCATCATAGAAATACAGTGTAGCACGCTGCACTGTGGTAACATAGTTAGCTAAAGCTTAATTAATTATTAAGTGACCCTTATTAGTCCCACAACGGGGAAATTTCACCTCCGCAATCTAACCCATCCGTGCAGTGAAACACCACATACACGCTAGTGAAGACACACACACTAGAGGGCAGTGAGCACAATTGCCCAGAGTGGTGGGCAGCCCTATCTGCAGCACCCGGGGAGCAGTTGGGGGTTAGGTGTCTTGCTCAAGGGCACCTCAGTCACGTACTGTCGGCTCAGAGGATCAAACCAAGGCTGGTTTCCTAACCTTCAGCCCGTGACTGAGCCTTTTTTCTCTGACTAGACCTACAGCTTCGTTTCCTGAACCAAATTTACTGAAAGCTACAACCATAACATACAGATGTAACACTGAGAACCGGCGATTTTGCTGAAATGGAAATTTTAATACTTTTTCTTTGAGAGCCACAGCAAATGCGTGAGCCTTATATGTCTAAAGACTAATGGATTAAATATCAACAGACATAGAAACAAAGCATCATAAAGCAGACATCATAATAAATATTCAGGAGAGAAACTAAAGCAGCTACCTGCAGCACCAACTTCTTATACGAGCAATTTCAGTAGTTCAGATAAATGTTAACCCTTCAAGGCCAAACAAAACTGTGGCTATTTAGGCTGTTTTATCTGTTTTATTCAACATCCACAGGTGTTTCTGTCCATCCTTCCACTGTGAGAAGACGACTCAGCGCTATGTTTTATCTGCTATATTTGTTTATCAAAGTTATGTCTGAATGCTGCATTGATTTGATATGTAAAGAACATGATCTAACAAAACTGAACACGTATAGATTTCAGTTTAGTTTCGTCTAAAGGCCGTCACTCACTGGACGCGCACAAAAATCAGAAACCATGGTTTTTAATGGAGGTGCACACCGGTGCCGAAACTCTCCATGACTCCGAGCATTGGTCAGTTCCTCAGCGCAGCATTTGGCCATTACTACATTATATTAAAGCCATATCGAGAGCACAGAAAGCCACAGTAGATCACATGTAGCTGGAGGTTTACACAGAGAGAGGCAGCCAGTCTTAGATAAACAGACACGAATGCCAAGTTACCTCAGCTGAGTTTACTATCCTGCCTTTTCCAGCTCTTTCAGCTCGAAAACGGACAGTTTGTGAAGAGACAGTAAACTGATACCAAGCGATGAGTGAAGCTGAGCACTTTATTTCATTCAGTTTATAAGAGTAGAGTGTAAAAATCAATCTGAAGCTGGCATTTTTGGGCTCCCCCTGCTGGCGTTCTATAGTAACACTGCGCTAAGAGACGCCACGGTAAGCGATGTGTGGCGGCCTTTACAAATGATATTTTTGAACAAGTAAACACTTAAATAGGAGTAAACTTAATATATTAGACATGTTGTTACTCTTAAACTATTTAATTCATTGTTATAAATACAGATTCAACAATAAAAGAGGCCTCGTGCATCTTTTACACACTGATCAGAAACAGTGGCTCACAGAAAGCTCTGCTTCTGCGCGCTGACGTTTTGAAACCTTTTGAATCATGTGACCAATTTCGGCCCACAGGTATTTTGACACGGGCCGATCTGGCCCTCTTTGGACGCCCATTGTCTACTCTGTGGTGGGGTGGGGGATTAACAGCATACAATACTGTGCAAAAGTCAAAACGGCAGTTAAGTACAGGTTATTCGTTTTCAGGAGGAGTTTCTAAGGACATTGGATAGAAGATAATCTGTTTGCACAAGGAAGAGGAAAGTAAAATGCAAATAAGTTCAAATGCAATAAGAGTTCAAAACACGATCAGAAGACCTGGTAGACACCAACACTGCCCCCATCAGATAAACAGCACTTAAAGCTTTCATCTCTGAGAGAGAGGAGAAAATCAAGCTGCTTCAGATCTGAAAACATCCACAGGTGTTTCTGTCCATCCTTCCACTGTGAGAAGACGACTCAGCGCTGTGGGTCTGAAAGGATGTGAAGCTGTTCAAGAAGAACCTCACTGAGAAAAGGAGACGGACACATCAAACAAAGAAGCTGAACAATGGACTGACCACCCCAGAGTCCAGACCTCAACACCACTGAATGTGTTTGATTACTTCAGAAAATGATCAACCAGCTTCTAAGACTGAACTTTGGAGGTGTGTCTGCAGAATCTTTGAGGAGCTGAAATGGGTTTCCTGAGAAGAATGAAAGCTGTAAAAGCTGCACTAAAAAAAAAAAAATGAATAGTATTTAGCTGTGACGTTGAATGTTTTCACCTTTTTCCTGACACTGAAAACTGTGAAAACTCTTATAGATTTCAGGTGACAGATTAGGGCTTTCCGTAAAATATAAAACAAAAAAAATAATTATTTTAGCACAGCCACATCTTGGAAACTGGCCTAAGCTTTGAGTGTACCTGCCACAGAACTGAGCATGACTAAATTATTTTTATGAATATCAGTTCAGTTTTCAAAACTGTGTAGAATTTCAGCTCTGTTTATTTATCTTCTGCTTTGGCCAGCAAACAGATAAAAATAAACAGCACTGCCCTCTTAAATGACTTTACAGCCTGCTGTTTTAAAAATAGGCCATTTAAAACTGTGCTATGACACACAGACCTTGGCGAGGTAGGACTGATTCGATTCAGTTTACCGAGTCGATTCATTCAGGCTATTTGTTATAATGAATCGAACGTCCGATTCAATGATTCATTGACTTATAAGTCAAGTCGATTCAGCGATCCATTCTGAAGTCACTACTGCTTTTCAGTAAAATCAGACAGACATCAGAAAGCTAAAGTCTACAAGGAGACATATATATAGATATATTTTATTGCTTCACTTTTAGTTACTTTGGACTGCCTTTTTAATATATAAACGATGCCATATAAATACGTTTATTATACGTGTAACTATTTTTTTAATGCTTCAGTTGTGAATCGATTCCGCTGATATACTGAAAAGAAACCGATTCAAAAGAACCATTCCGTCACGAGTCGGACGCCGCTGCGGATTACATAATGGTGTAGTTGTAGTTCCGATCTTCGCCGCTAGAGGACTCAAACACCCGGACTCGTACGCGTAGAAAACACGAGAACGATTTTACTCACGCCGGATTCTCTTTGGTGGCTCCGTCGACCAGCCTCCGCCAAGCTGGCCAATGGGAAAGCGCGCCTTCCACCCCTGGCCAATCAGAGCGCAGAAAGGACGACCCGACGCGTTCGTGTTGCTGGGTAGAGAACAAAGCCGAGACAGATCGCTGCGTTATAACTTAGAAAAAGCCGAAACGGGAGAGACGGTGAGTGACTTTTTACTCTTCATTCGGTCTTTACGTGCTTTTGTGCGTCTTAAAATGTCTCGGTGGTCGCAGACGAGCTTTTTGTGAGGGGGAAAAGACCGTGTGTGTCCGCCTCCGAGGGTTTGTTTATGTTATGGTCGTTCATACAGCAGCACGTCCGCTGTGGATAAACAAGCGCAGCCGTTAAACTGCGGTGCAAAATCATGGCTGTTCAGACGTTTAAGGACCAAATTAACACACAAACGTACGTTTTTTAACCTGAAGCAGCCTCGAACTGAGCCATTTGGTTCTTTCAGCTGGAAGAAGGGCGACCTACATTCATTCACTAAGCTTTATACAGCTTCTTGTTCGAATTTTCCCGTTCCACCTTAAATGGTGCAGCAGTTAGGTGCCAGAATGTAACTGCTGCACCATTTAAGGTAGAACGGGCAAATTCGAACAAGAAGCTGCTGGCGAATAGGAAGCCAACTTCAGCCTCGTCATTCATTCGGAGATTACCTGTATTTTCTCAGATAGCTAGCTAGCTAAACTCTTACAAAACATGGTTCTTCAAAGGTTCTCTAGCACAGAGAATGGTTCTATGTAGAACCATGAGCTCTGTATAGAACCATTTGGTCATGACATGGTTGAACTGTTCTTCAGATTGATTGATAATGTGGTGTTTCTTAAACAATGGTTCTATATAGCACTAAAAAAGGGTTCTAACAATAGACATTTGTGTGTAGATCCATATCCAGCCCATCCTCCAGCAGCCTGAAGAGCCAGTTAATCATGCAGAAAACCATTTAAGCATGAAATGGCTCTATATAGAACCCTTGAAGAACCATCTTCTTTTTAAAAGTGTAGTTTTCTGTACATTCCCCGTTTTTCTTGTGCGAGTCCAGACATTTATTCATGCACTGACCAGATCTTCTGTAACTTCTCAGGTTCTGTGGTTTTCCCAACTTCTTTGCTGTAAAATCACCCACTTTAAAATCATGGCAACCGACTGTGAGGCCTGGCTGAACTCCAACCCAGTAGGTAAGAGTTGACTCAGAGAAAACATGGAGCCGGTGTCATTCATCCCCCCCGAGAGCAGCAGCCTCGGTGGCTCTTGCTGTGTTGAATCGGTCACTGTGTTTTGGTGTCAAGGGTAATGATGTCATTTTCATTCGCTTGCTGAATGCTGGCCGCGTTCAAGGGCTTATTTGCCAAATCGTGTACACAGAACTTGTCTTTTTGGGCTCGTAGGTGAGATATTGGTCATCTTTTCACCTCTTATTCACTTACATTGCTGATAAATGATCTGTGCTGTGATGTTTACCAGCCTTACACAAAGCCCTGTTTTTACCGTGCCCTGTATTTTGGCACTGAGATCAGTCCTGTTCTTTCCCCATCATTGCATGTGTTTACATGCACTTAATAATCCGATAACTGCAGAAAATCAGATTTTGTCAGTAATCCGATCAATGCGTTTACATGCACTCGAGTAATCAGATAATGCTGAAGCTCCAGGTCTACGTAAGTCAGACAGTAATCGGATTTCTGCTTTGCAACCAGCCAGTAAACTCACAGAAGAAGATGTGACGTGAACGTAAAGGTCAAACTTCGCGCCACTTTACCTTAAAATATGAACATACATCATCTAGAAGGTGAAGAATATTTAAATCCTTCATTTCGTGTTTGGTGTCAGCAGTCTGAGCATGAGCGAAGCAGATGACGGTACCAGAAATAAGCGAGCAGCGTCGCCGCGAGACGCAGCAAAACACTTTTGGAGCGACGCTGCTCGCTTATTTCTGGTACCGTCATCTGCGTCGCTCATGCTCAGACTGAGAAATGCGAAAGAAATCAGAGTAAGAGTTCACATGCACTGAGAAATCTGATTACTGAGCTAAAATCCAGCACTTTTTATCGGATTTCCTAATCGGATTTCTAGACCGGAGTATGGTGTTTACATGACCATTTGAATAATCGGATACCTGCAGAAATCTGATTATGATCAGATTATTGAGTGCATGTAACTGCATTCATTGTTTATTACCGCTTTGATCATGAAATAAATGTACATAGGGATGCAAAGAGGCACAGGACATACCGAAACTTGATTACTGCGGCTGATGAACCTCGTTTAAAGCTAGTAATTAAAACACGTTTTTACACACGCCTCCATCAAAATGCCTCTCGAGCCAATGACATCAAAGAAGTCTGTAGTAGAAGCATTTAGAGTCCTTGACCACGAGTCGGCCCTGATTCCCAGACGTGTTGGAGTTGAAGAGTCTTTTGTAATCGTCTCCCCATCAATACTGTAACACCACTGTCCCCCACAGAGGCAGTCGACCTGAGCGACTCTTTATCAGTCCGGGGACGAGGAGAACGGCCTCGGTGGCAACGTCGACGACAAGATCAACGGTAACTGGATCTCCGCCCCGGCCGGCACCGTCCACGAGGCGCGGCTCAAGGCCAAGGCCAAGCGGCGGCTCCGCAAGAACTCCTCCAGGGACTCGGGCCGGGGAGACTCGCTCAGCGACAACGGAGACGCCGTCCGGTCCGCTGCTCCACCCACCAGCCCCAAAGGCAGAGTTCTGGACCGCAGGTCACGGCTGGGCAAGGGCAGAGGGCTGCCCAAGAAAG